GACAACATCAAACACAGACTCACTAAGAGAAGAGCCCAGAAACAGACCTCAGTACGTGGGACACTCAGCAGAGGATTCAGGGGGAAAGCTGGGCCGTTTAATAAATAGTGTTGGGACAGCTGGGCGGTCTTTGCAAAAAGATAGAACTGGACCCACACTTCACATGACATAAACCCAGAGGCAGTGACGGCCTTAACGTACCAGCGCCAGAGGAAAAGGGTAAGTTCCTTATAAATGTCCTGACTGTGACTCGAAAGCTTTACAAGAATGATTGATAACTTTGACTACATTAAAGAAAAGCCACTGTAACCAAAATCAAGAAAAGGATGACAAACACACAGTATTTGCAACCACGGAATCACAGTCAGAGGCTAATTTCCACCCATACAGAGAGCTCCTCATGCTTGTGTGAAAGAAAACACCAACAAGCGAGGAGGAAAAGATAGGCAAAAGGCAGGACTGAAAGTTCACGGATAGATATTGCCACTGGCCTCGAGACAAGTGAAAAGATGCCGCTCTGACCCTTAGTAAGAGAAATAAAAATTCAAGCTGCACAGAGACACCACTTCTTACCTCCCAGAGTGGAAAACTCCCAAAGATTTTCCGAACACTCCATGGGGAAACCAGCACTCTTGTCCAGCGTGAGGAGAGAGACAAACTGGTCCAGCCTCTGTGGAAGGGTGTTCAATAGCATCAGGCAAAATAACACAAACATTTGCCCTCAGACCCTTTATTCCAAAGACACGTGTCATATGCAAAGACACGATGTGATTTTGCACAAGGTTATTCATGGAGGAATGGTTTTTAAGAGCAGAGTATTAGAAATAACCCAGATACCCACCCCGGGGCACTGGTTGCATACACTGAGCCACATTTGCACGATGAATACCACACAGCGATGAAAAGGAACAAAGTAGAGTTCCATGTTCCTAAAGTTGCCTGCAGGAAAAACGGTTACGTGAGAACAGCGAGATGCAGAGTAATATCCAAGTGGGGGCCCTTGTATAAGAAGAGTGGGATGTGGGCTCCAATTCATGCTTCTCTTTACTATTGAGTTCGAAGTTCTCCCTATCTCATTCTTGTAGCCTGTGAAAATAATCTCTAACAATGGATTTATTAAAACAAAATCTTGCTACAGGGGACCCTTTAAAAACAACTCACTCACAGGAAACCAAATGGAGACTGTTCCCACGAGACCTTCTCCTCAATACTGCAGGTCTGGGCCACCAAGGAAGGGACAACTTATCTGACGGTGAGCAGATCCGCCCCAGCTCCTTCACAACCAGAAGGCTCTGCTCGGCCTGGGCCTGATGACACAAGGCATCGGATGGACCATCTGGCTTCTGAGCTCACTGGGTCGTGGGGTAGCCCTCCTCCGTCACGTCCAGGCATTCAGTCTCGCTCTTCACGGCCCAGCAGGCCCCAGGGCCACCGCCTCCGATCTTGCTTCTTTCAGAGAAAGGTGCCACATCTTTCTGGGCCATGCCTGCACGGGTGGCTGAACAAGGATCCGACCCAGATCCCTTCCCTCCCCAATCCCCGCTCCAGCCTCTGAGAGCTGCCTCAGGGGATTCATCTCCCCATGATGAGCCATCCATTGTCCAAAACTCCAGCTCAGCCCCTGCCCTAGCGTCCACCCGCCTTGTCCAGCGACGCGTGAGGGCCCGGAACGTTTCAGATGCGTCTCCACGTCTGCTCGTGCCGTCTTGTGCACGTAAACGCTCTTTCATGGGACGGAAGACAGCTGCCCTGAGAATTCCTGCATTGGAGGACAAGGAGCCTGGCGCCTCTTTACAGCGTGCGTGAGGTTGAGAGGTCGCCTGGGGGCGGGCACGGGTGCTAACACCCGCTGCCAAGTGTGGTCTGTGCTGAAGCTACCACTTCTAACCTTCAAAGGGAATTCAGTGGTGTTCCAAGAAAAGACGACGACGTGACACCCAGCTCGGCGTGTTTGGCTGTCTGAAATAACCATTGCCACTAATTTTGGGGTCCCTTCTCATGGGCAGAGCCTGGCACCTCCGGGCGACCTTGCACTTCCCAAGAACCCAAGAGATGACCGTTCCCCCCACAGCAACTGCTTCCCTCCAGCTCACTTGTAAGAGCTGGGATGGCGAGAAGAGCCACCTCCTCCGCATGCGTTCCGTGAATGCTACACGGGCATCCTGACTCCGTGGGAGCCGGAGGAGGATTCCACGGGCACCCGTGCGGGGTCACGCGGCACGGGCTTCCTTCAAGAAGAGGAATTCCAGGCCCAGCCGCACACAGAACTGAGTGTCTCAGGCTCCGGCCTCCGAGGACTCTGAACAACGGCCAGGTTTTGATTCCAGGCCAAACTTTTAATAAAGAAAATTCATCCACAGATGTTCTGGCACCAGCCAATATATTCGGTTATTGGAATCTGGGAGATTTAGTGGCAGACGGGTTGTTTTATTTGCTCTCTGGATGAAACCATTTTTCTTGCGTATTTAATATCCTGGAGGAATATTTTCCCTAGCAAATACTCAGTCTGAGACAGCAAATCCATTCTGGACCTATCGGGCCATGATTTTCTTTTCTGGTGACTCAGAACAAGTATTTGTACGTGTGTTTCTTCCTGTGTCATTAAGGGGAAATGACGAAGAAATCGGCCCGTAATTGGAGCTGTGATGACAGAACAATTAAATGTGCCTGCATGGGTTTCTGTCTTGTCAGGAACATCCGTGGCCGCATGAATGGTATTATGGAACTCAGGGCTTTTATATGAGTAGTGGCTCCTCTCTCTCGTGGGGATGAGTTTGTATGCCATCTCACTCCAAGATAATCTGTAAACTCAAAGTATGAAAATACCTCCCACTTTTAAAAGTTTTAATTGCAAGCTTGTCCTGCCTCTGTATGTGAGAGCCCAGGGAGGGCTTCCAGCTAATGAGGCCCTAATTAAGGAGTAGGTATTTCCGACCCCTCCCCTCCTCTCCTCTCCTCGATGTCACGAGTCGGCGGGTCTCTGACTTCTGTGGCTGAAAAAAATCGAAGTGCCAGCAGAGACAAGAAAGCAAGAAAGGATTTTTGGGATATTTTTGTCTTGGGCTTAGTGAATACCATCCCCTCCCCAAAATCCCAAAGAAAATATTGGGTGTAAGAGAATCATAGATGCTGGGAAGAAGGGGCAGATGGGAGAAAGGGTGATGGATGAAGGACTTAAAAGAACACCAGAAGAAGCAATGACTTCTCCTAGAGGATGGGAAATGAGAAACTTCCAGAAGGCAGGGACCTTCGAGCTGGGGCCTGGGGGCCTTGGGAAAAATTTGGGGAGGAAAGACAGTGGCGAGGGCACGGGTGAGAGCACCAAGGGGCTCCAGGGTGCAGAGTGTCTGGAGGTGGAGAGCTGCTTGGCGAGGTCTGAGAGGACAGTAGGGAGTGGGCAGAGGGGACAGGCCAGGGTGCATGCGGGTCAAGAGGTGGCACGTGTCAGGCACGAGGCGGCGCTGACCCCCTGCAATGGAGTCTAGGTGGTTGTGATTGAGAAGCTGAGGGCCCACTCGTGGTTAGAGACGTGGCCCCCGGGGTTGGGTGAGGAAGGGTCCTAGAGTAGCGAGGGGCTCCCACGCTGAATCAGGACCTGGTGGCCAACAGTCCCAGGCACTGTTCCCGAGTCCTGGTGCGTCGCCCTCCCTCCCCACCCAGTGGCTTAAGGCTCGTCCTATTTTTCACTGGGGGAGCTGACCACGGAGCTAAGGAAACGCCCGTGCGATCCTAACGATGGGTGAGAATCAGCGGATCGTCATCGCCTTCCTTCCTTAGGATGTTTCTTGACCAGAAGGTGGATGGGGGAGGAGAACCGGGGAGGCTTTGCCCTATTTTTCATCTCATATTTTCCCAACTATTGGCCAGGGCCGGATCACAAGGGCGCCTACTGTGACTAAGCTGGGCACGGTCCCCACGCCCCCTGCTCACCACTTCAGTGGCTCTAGCTTCTGAGCGGGCCCAGGGACCGGCGTTTTACGTTCTTAGACATTCTCAGACTCACTCCACTTCGTACTGAGCATTGCGAACATCAGACACACCCCATCTAAGTGCCATCAACAACCCTGCCTGGGTTCCGGCCCAGCTGTCTTTCCAGGACCAATGAGAGAAACTCAGGAAGACTGCTTTGGAAACAGCTCATTTGCTCACGGGTTTGAGCGCAGTGCCAGCTGGGACGGCCTCACGGGGCTGCCCAGCTTTTCCCCATGTCCGCGTCACTGCCATTCCATCCACGCTGCCAACGTGTGCCAGGTGCCCCAGAGCAGAGGGGAGGGGAGGGAGGTGGGTGGCTCCCACATGCCACACGGCCCTCCTGTGCTCAGGCAGGGTCCGAGCGCTGTCTTGTGAGAGGAGACTTACTTTGACCCTGTTCCTTCTGGCAGGAAGGGACTGGCAGGAACTGGCTGGCAGGAAACCCCAGGGCACTCAAGAACAGCTCAGGACATGGAGATGCGGCCTGTTCTGCGGAGACTCCAAGGCCTGCTAGAGGCAGGGCCCATGTTGGCCTGGGCTCCTCGTATGTGCAAGGTTCTCCGTCTCCAAGGCCCAGGGACCCAGACCCCAGAGAGGGCTGGCCACTCGTCTCCTGGACCCACCATAGCCCCTAGTGAGTGGACTGGCCAGAGGGGCCTGAGTTTACCTTCCCCGACTCTCCAGCAGTCTCTCTGCTGGTGCCTCCCGCCACGCCTGAAGCTGGTGCCTGTGCAGACTCCTTCTAGTGGTGCCCGTGCAGGAGCCCCGCAGGTGGAGGGGTGGGGTGGGGTGTGTGCCCAGTGGTGCAGTCCTTGGATTCAGATGCCCCCAGGCAGAGGGGGACTCCAAGCTGATTCTCCGGGCTCCGACTTTTGGGGGGATGGGTGTCTAGAGACCCGAGGGGACTGTCCATAACGTGACCTTGCTTCCTCTTCTGAAAGGACCACTCACACCCTGGAATACATCTGCGAGCATCCAGAAGTGTCCATCGTTTTTAAGACCCTCAGAAATGACGAGTGAAGCAAAAACATCTCCTAATATTTTTATTGTTCCTTAGATAACTGGATAGTACAAAGTTTCCCTCTTTTTTACTTAAAAAATGTACTTTCCACGCACTGTGGCCCTCAGGAACATTCCTTTCCCACTGGAAACTGAAGTTTCCCTAGATAAGCCCTTCTCAACTGTGGTTACATTATTTAGGTAATTTAACAAGAAGAGAATAATTCCTTTGACTATTATCAACACGAACTTGATTATCTCTCTATAAGGGCAAACACTGATATATTTTTTTCTTTTTAGAAACAAAACCATCCACTTATTAATCCAAACTACGGCATTGCATCTACAACATCCATTGCATAAACTGAACACACAGAGTTACCACCTCAAGGGAACAAGAAAGACGCTGCACGATATATCTACGGGGGATGCGGATTCGAACGACGTGGGTACCGCCCCTGTCTGCTCCACACGCTCCAACCATCCTCCGCAGGGACTAGACACAGGTCTATGGGCTACTTGGAGTCTCAGGACAGTTAATGTAAGACACAACACACGGTCGAGAAACAGCAGCTGTGATGGGATGCGAGTTAAACTAGCCTACGATGAACCCTCCGCACGCCGTGCGCGGCCTGGGGGCTCTCGATGAGACACAGCAATCACGTCCATGGGAGCGACCACGACCTAAGGAAATGTCCATGCGATCCTAACAGTGGATTGTTCTCAGGCGAGAGTTGGCCAACAGTCATCGCCTTCCTTCGTTGGTATATTATTATTTGACCAGAAAGGGGACCAGGGCAGGGGCGGGAGGAGAACCAGGAGCCCTGGGCTGCAGTTCCAGCTGCAAATATGGGGGTTTCTTCCCAAGCGTGTAACCCTCCGGCTTGACCTGGAGAAACATGGAGGTAACGCCAACCCGCGACGCCGGAATCCACACTGCTGATGATTTGTCAAAATTAGTATTGTTAGTATCAGTAACATTATTTTGGCAGCTGTTTCACAGGAATTTCCACGTGGGTGAGGCCGTGGACCCTCGGCTTCCAGGCAGAGGCAGCTACAACTCGTCGGACCGGATGACGTGGAAGAGGGTGACATTGTAGAGGATCTGGTGGCCGTTGTTCCACGCGTAGAGGGCGCGGTCCTTGGGGTTGTAGTCCAGCATGGAGATGTGGGAGTACTTGTTCTGGAAGGGGATATCGATGTACTCGTAGGTCGAGGCGTTGGTCTGGTAGGCGTAGTGGACCTTGGTGCCCCCCGAGTAGCCGTTGGTGACGTAGAGGGTCCCGCAGATGATGAAGGCCTCCCCCGCGCTGCGCTTGGGGTAGCTGGTGTTCCAGGTCTGCAGCACCTGCAGGGAGACGGGGTCCAGCTTGCTGATGACGATGTTGCCGGCGTTCTGGTTGGTGGCGTAGACGGCCCACAGCCCGTTCTCGTCCACCATGAGGTCGATGTCCGAGTGGCCGCCCCAGGCGTAGTGGTACATGTTGTTGTAGCCGGCGTAGTCCAGGCTGCGCGTCTTGAGGATCGTCTCCGTCTTCAGGTCGAACCTGATGACGATGTGGCTCTGGAACTTGTTGAAGTAGATGGAGCCGTTGTAGACCACCTGCCCCGTGCCCGACCAGGGGTGCGGGAGGCGGTGGGACGTGAAATTGTCCGTGGTCATGAAGTCGATCATGGATTTGTACTCGCGGACAAAGCGGTTATTGTGGTAGCCGTCCATGTACCAAACCTGCGGAGAGAGCAGACCCCGTTAGTGGTTCCGAAGGAGGACGGGGAGGCTCCTCCGGGGAGGCAGCCCACTCAGACTTGCAATTGAACTTAGCACCAGAGAAGGATCTGAAGGCCCCGGAGAGAATAATTAAGACTAAATGATGTCATATCCTTCCTCCAAACTCATAGGGCACTTTTCAAAAGGGTACGGGACTACCTCCCCACCAGACAAACAAGTGTCCGGCTTGGAGAAAGGCTAGGAAAGGACCCTCTGCGAAGGGGGTGTGGGAGCTGACAGCCTGGGGCATCCCCGGTCTCCCTATGGGCATGGCTGCAGCCACCCTCTGCAGGTCTCCTAAGTGGGCGGCAAGGAAACCACTGTGGGCGCCCAAATCGAGCCCCCTGCTCGGGCTGCCCCCAGGCCATGGGTCTGTGGGCACATCTGTTTGTTCTCTCTCTACCCTCTCCCTGGCCGAGGGCACGCAGGAGGTGTTCACGCTTATTTGGGGAAGGCGGAAACTCCATCAGTGTATGAAACCCCAAACCAGCAAGACGGGGTTGGAAAGTGAACGGCCACCCGGGCCCTGGACGAGGACGGATGCTCACAGCAGCAGTGCTGACCCATTATCAAGGTCGCCAGAAGGGCGACCTCCCCCATCCAAGGAGGTGCGTCCGTCAGGCCTCTCTGTCCCGCCAGGCCGTCACGGCGGCCGGGTTGAGTTATCCAACCTGGTGGGTGGAATGTATCAATCTGGCATTTGAGACGCAGTGCGTGTGTACTCAGTCACACCCCATCCAGGGAGAGTGCCTCCCCCAGGAGAATGCCGGCTTCTCAGAAGGCCCTGATGGTGAAAACCAACCAAGACAACACACCCAGCAGTGGCCCAAGTTTGGGGTCACAGGGAAGAGATTTCCGATTCTTGCTTCAATGCCAGTTGACCTGAAAACCATCTAGACTTTGTACGAAATGCTTCAGTCATTTTCAACCAACATGGGAGCAAATTAGAAAGCAATGCAGTTAGTCGGGGAAACTCTGCCGGGCGAATGCCATTCCGAGTGCCCGTCTGCAGTAACACAGCTGATGGTCCATCAGGGCCCTGCCGGCTGCAGGAGATTAGGGACGTGGGAGCTTTCAGACCCGAATTACACATGCGTTAAAAACTTAAAAAAATCATAACCTTGTTCCTGAGACATCGTTCAGCTGCTTAGAGGCAGATGCGCCTTTTGTTTTTAACGAGTTTTTTTTTTTTTTTAAACCGGGTCTCAATTGAGGCTTTCATTTTCTCTGGCCTCCTGTAGGCCGGTCCCCAGTGATGTGGGTCACAGACTAGCACGGGGCAAGAGCAGTGCACGAGGGGCGTCGGAGGACGCAGGCGATGTGCAGAACCTCCTCTGATCCTGTTTCTGAAAAGCACCCTCCTGCCTCCACTTGGCTATCTCCTGAGACGGGGAGCTCACTGCTTCTTTCAAGACTCAGCTCAAACGACATTCCTCCCTGAAGCCTCTCCCTATCTCAGCATGGAGAACACTTTCTGGAAGTGTGCAAATGTGTGCCCCCGGCACCAGCGGGCCCTTGATAGTGGGGACCCTGTCTCACGTCTCCCTGTACCCCCAGGGTCCAGCATCTCCTTCCTGTGGGCAGAGCTGGGGGAAATCGGCATCAGATTACTAAGAATTTTTAAATTCTTAGTAATAACAAGGTTATGATTTTTTTAAGTTTTTAACGCAGGTGTAATTCGGGTCTGAAAGCTCCTTTCCTCCTTTTCCTCCTGTAAACTGGCAAACTGAACACAGGGCATTGCACTTTTGTGAAACGCAATTGAGGGTGGGAGGGAAAGTCAGCACGACTTAACTGTTAACTGTTTAACAACCACTCTTGGCCTGGTAGCTTTAAGTTGCCAATGAGAAGCTGTGCTCTGCAAAAGAGAGGTGCATACGTGGACCCCCCCGAGTTTGTTCACTCTGATGTCATCTGAAATGCCTTCTCCTTCCCCTCCTATCCAAGTCCCAGGCTCAGATGGAATCTGTCACCTCCAGCACGCCTCCCCCGAGCTCTCCAGCCTCGCCCAGAACCACAGCACCTGAACTGCCGGAGGCCTGGGACCAGCGGTTCTCATCCTGGCTGACTCTGAGGGCCCCGGGAGCGTTCACACTCCAGAGCGATTACATCAGACCTCTGTGGGTGGAGCCAGGCATTCGTGTGGGTTAGAGCTTCTGGGCGATTCTAACGTGCAGGCAAGGCTGGACCCTCTGGCTTGGAGCCTGAGCTGCTTACCGTGGACTTGACCACATGGGCCCTTTGCAGGGGTTCTCAGCCCGGGCTCCTCACCTGAGGAGCTTAGAAAGCCCTGTGCCGAGCGCCTAGTGCTGCCATTCTCAGTTACTCGTTTGAGTTATGGTCTCGGCACCAGGATGTTTAAATCTGCTCACGGATTATTACGTACCAGCCAAGATGAAAACCACCACTCTAGCTACACAGCGAGTACGTGCGGCCATCCTCTCCCTGCGTCCCCACCAGGGGCCAGCTCGGGGCCCAGCCTGGTGGAGGAAAGCAGTGAGTCCTCTTGACAGATGACTGCCCAAGAGTTCTCGTCCTCGGTCCAGGTCCAAGGCCAGTGTTCCAGCGAGGCTGGCGCCCGGGGACGTGCCAAGGGGGTGCTGTCTAAAGTGGCTTCTCAGCCACTTGGCCTGAGTTAGCTCTTCCCTTCGGCTTGTCAAGCATCTGTCACGTGTCCTCCCGACAGGACTGCTACCACCAAGGAGCCTGGGCTGCTGCAAAAGATGCTCTAAAGGGAGCCGCCGGCCGACCCGGCAGAGGAGGAGGTGGCAGACGCCGGCGGCTCGTGCCAGAGACTTCACTAGGAAGTGAGGGTTGAAAGGGAGCGGGGAGAGGTCAGGGCCCAGGACGAGCCCTGCTCCCTCAGAGAAAGGACTAGAAGGGGCACCCATGATTGTTGAACACCTAGCTGCGCAGGCTCTCGGCTGACCGATGACCACACTCACAGGCTAGCACATTTTGGATAATTTGACCTTCAGGAAAAGGGATTCGGTATGAGCCTTATAAGATATCTGGATGGCTGTGACACTGTCTAGAGGACAGGGAGGAATTTAAACACTGAGCTGAGCTCATTGCTGTTTGTAAAATGACAGTATTTTGGTGATGATAACACCCCCTCTGAACATGAGCTTCCTGGGGGCAGCGAGGGGCAGCTGGTCCCCTGTCCAGTGTCTGATGTGAGTGGCCTGGGACTTCTAGGGTGGAAACAGGCCAGTAAGAGGGAAGGCGGTCACTGGACTCCAGAAGGATGGTCCATGGTCAGGGTGGGCTACTCGTCTGAGTTGGGGGCAGGGGTCTCCTGGGGAGGGGCACAGCCTGGCAGGGATGAGAGCCTGGAGTCGGAGCGGGAGCTTCCGGAGCCCCAGTTCCACCAGAAGCATGTAGGCCGGTCACTGCTGAGAGAAGGCTGCTGCTGGACGTGGTGGGAGAACAGCAGAGCCCAGCACAGTGCCTGGCACACAGCTGGTGGTTAATAAGTGAGTCGAGGAAGGGTGGATGCAAAGGCAGCCCAGGCTAACCTTGTTCTAACAGCTCGGCGCAAGGGCGGCAGGTACCTGAAGGCTGTGCCGGCTCTTCTGCAGGCCCTCCCCCAGGTGGGCTCCCCCCCGGGGGCTCCGCGGCAATTCAACCCCCTCGGCCTTCGCACACCCCTCTCACCACGCCCTCCCTCCCTGGCAGCCTGCACTAAGCTGACATTGATTTTTGGTTTTTTTTTTTGGAGTGAGTTATTGGTTCCCTGCGTGTATGTGATCAAAATTGGATGGGAGAATGGAAAAGATCAAAACAAAACAAAACAGAGCTCTTCCAGATCAATGGCAGGACTGGGGACGTGTCACTTAGCAGGCTGGGCGCTGGAGGCGGCGATGCTGAGCACACGGGGCTGGGAGTGGCCGGCTGGGGGCAGGGCTGCCAACTGCCCAGAGCACTCCAAGCTGACCCCCAGCATCCCTGGCAGCCGAGCCCGTCTCCTCCCTGCCCTGTGCCATCAGTCCCCCACCAAGGCCTCCTCCTCCCACCGTGCCTCCTCACACGCTCTCCATCACCAGGGCCTCCTTTCCTGGAGGACGATCAAGTCATCAAGCAGAAAATAGATGTCCAGCTACCAAAAGCATCAGCAGCACCTCACGGCTTTGGAACCTACGGCCTCACTGGATGGGGGAGGCACATGGCCGGGCCTCCAGGAGCCCTGACACCTGGTATGCGAGAAAAGAGGCTTTGACTAGTGAGCTACCACAAAGGGTGCTGATGTCAGAGCCGGGCTGAGCGGAATCCTCCAGACCGGTTCATTCTCTGCAGCACTAAGGTCACTGGTTCCAGCTCACGGGTCCCAGCAGATCTACCCGTGTTTGTGGGGTGTGTGTGGTGGGCAGGCAGACCACAGGCAGGAGGCAAGGAGAGGGAGATTGGGGGGATCAGGAGACTCATCTGGGAATGGCAGTGCCTACTGTGGACATTTGTTAATAAAACCAGTGACCAGCCTTTCTCGAGACCGTGGGCAAGTCATGCGACCCTTCTGGGCCTAGGTTTTCTCATCAACGCAGCAGAGATCAGGAGGACCTCGATGCTGGCGGGTCTCGGAGGACCAAACAAGACAGGCAGGCAGTGTGCCCAGCTGAGGGCAGGCACACGGGCAGCTGCGTCAGGGGCCCCGGTTCCTTGTCTTGTGTTGATGGAGTCAATATATACACATCAAGGGCTTCAACAGCGCCTGGCACCTAGGGCCTGCTCTCGGGTCTGCTATCAGCGTTTTGTTTCTATTTCTGCATGATTGTTATTATCAGCGACATCTGGGCAAGAGCACGCTCCTAACCAAACTCGGAACAGAGGCAGGGTTTTCCAGGTGGGATACAGACTACAAGGACAGTCGATTAAACTGTCAGGAAATCTGCAAGCACCAGCTAGCTGTCACGATTCAGAAAACAGGAAACACCCTTCACTCCAAAATACTTGACCCCAATGGTATCCCTGGTTTGCAGTCTCTAGCCAGCCCCTCCAGAACTCTCTGCCAGCAGACGCTGGGTTGAGCGGCTAGGAAGACGCTGCTGGCCTGCTCAGGGTGAGAGGTGGGGCGTCCTCCCGCTGGAGGTCATTGGTAAAGATAAACGCACAGGCTTCCCGAAAGCCCTTCCGTCGTCGCCCCATCCGTCTGCCCCCGAAGTAGAAAGTGTGCCAGAGACGCAGTGCCCCTTCGTGTTTTAATACAAGAGATCAGGCCTGATGCTGCCTTCTACCGGACGGAAATGGGGCGGGCGAGGAACAGAGAAGGGCAGTCTCAGGATAGAGAGAACTCCACCCACCATTTCCATTAAAAGTCCTCCGGACAACGCTCAGAAGATCTCAGATTTCTAAGCCCCCCTCTCGATTCTGCCCGGAGGAAGAGTTGAGTTCTTTTCAGTGTTTATTGTCTAAACGTTCGGAAGGCAAGAGGCTGATAGGAAACCAGCCCCAGATGGTTGGCCGGTTTACTCTGGGTGACAGCAATCAGGTTGGCAGATGCCAAAGTCAGGGAAGCCCAAACAGCTTCTCTCCTCCACCCAGAGCCTTGGCCGGAATCTTCCTTTGGCGGAAGGCTCTAAAATGACACTGTCCTAACGTCCAGGGGCCGAGCCGGCCAGGCGTCTCCCCCTCTCATCTCCCCGCTTCCCGAAGGGGCTCAAACAACAGAACCCAGGGCCCCCTCCCACCCCGCCATCAAGAGAAATGTGGTGCTTGTCTCTCTCTTCCTCTCCAAGTTTTTACCCTGGGGGAAAATTCTAGAAAAAAGAACGTGGCCTCTTTCCTATATCAAAAAGGAACATGAGTTTCCATCAGCCATGAAAGGAATGGCAAATGAAATACAAATGAGACGTCATTAAAACAAGAAAGGCCTAATGGTGTCTCTTGCTGAAGCGGGGGGCAGGGATGGGAACGACCGGAACGTTCCAGCCGGAGAGAGACAGACCGAGCGCCCACCTGCCACCCACCTGCCCGAGGCACAGAGCCGCGCCTGGGGAGCGGCGTTGCAGGGGCCCGTCATTTGCCATCATTCGCCACCGTTGTCCCCGTATTGCACCCATCCCTGTGGTCTGTGACTCCAGGTCAGCACAGGGACCTGGCCCCTCCCCAGAGTCTCCCAGGAACACACCCCCGGGGGCCCCACGCTCTGCTCAGCCCACAGCCCCTGGAGTGTCTGTCGGGTGGGCAGGCCCATAGGCGTGAGGGCCAGAAAGGTGCAGGAGGGAGACCAGACCCGCCGGCTCCCAGGGGGACCCCCTTGTGCAAACGACCCCCAGACCCAGGCCCAATGGAGAGGCACTTACCCTGTTATCACCTTCTGGGGCCAGAGGGTCCGTCATCCAGGACCCGAACCTCGAGCCGGAGGTCTTGATGGTCACAGGGTCACTTATGCCCGTCAACTTGCCACATGCTGGAAGAGAGGGCACGGCGCAGGAGGAGAGGAGTGAGTGCCGTGGCCTGACCCGACTGTCCCCTGGGGGAGGACACAGGGTCCCCTCTGCCCTTCTTGGTCTGGGATGCTGCTAAACAGATGCTCGTGCCCTTGCTCTTCCTGGGGACATGCCAAGCCACCCACTCCCACAACAGAGAGCAGCTGAGGCCAGGGAGGGCAGAAGAGGGAACAGCCGCTGCCCCCTGGGCCTCACGCCCTCCCTCCCCACAGGCCTGGGGGCGAGGCTGTTGCTCTGGGGGTTCAGATCAACCTCACCAAGACTCAGTTTTCTGCTCTGGGAAATGGAGACGGCAGCAGCCCAACCTCCTAAGGCTGCTGGAGAGAATGCGATGCTAACAGCCCAGCACGTGTCTGGCACAGGGCTAGGCTCAAAGCAAGACGCAGTGTAAGGTGTGATTGGTTTCACGAAGCACCAAGGACCAGTGCGCTTCATTATAGAGCTGCTACTCCGCGCCCTTCCACACTGAGAACCAGGGGAAAGGCCGGCAGCCTTCCCACCGAGAGGCGGTGAGCTTTTCCCCCAGGGTGAGAGCATCTCTTCTGCCTGGAGGAGGAGCCCTGAGGCTGGAGAGCCAGGGTTCTGAAGGTGCTGACAGGGCAGGGAGCATCGGGATGGATGGGACCCTCTATGCCCTGTGGGGACATGTGCCTTCTGTATGGTCCCCTCCCAGGTCTGCGTGGCTCTCCTCAGCTGCCATGATTAGCATATGTACACAGTGGTCTGCAAAGTTCAGAGAAGATCCAGGGGCTTTCAGAAGACTGTCACTGACTTAACCCAGGACCACGGTTTAGCCAGCATAATCCAGAAAAGCGGAAGCTGGCCTGGGGAGGGGCCCACTCCCACCTCTGCAGTCCAGGGTGTCCCCTGCTCTCTCCCTGAACTTAAAGTGGGTGAGTATATCCATTAGCATCATCGTACAAGACTGGAGGGATGGAACCCCTGACACCCCGGCCCAGCACCAGGCGCTGCGGTTTCTGTGTTGGCAGGAGAACGGGCATCTGGGCAATGCAGAGGCTTTGAGGAGGATTAAGAGCCGACTGCGAACAGAAGAAAGGCTGGCTTTGCACCCAAATTCCCATCAAGTCACGCCGCCCTGCTCCTAAGTCCCAGCGGCCAGCTCTGGGGGCTGCTGCCTCTGGCCCAGATTCGAAAAAGAAATGCACGACTATTTTTACTCGCCTATCCCTTCTCCGGATTGATTTCGCCTGGTCCGCTTTCAGGAGGAATTATGCACCTTCCCACATAAATACTGTCCGTTCACAGCCTGAGGCTTCCTGCAGCAGCCACCGCTGGCAGGGCCGGCCGGCGAGTTGGCAGACCCAGCAGGGTCACTGCTGAGGATCAGCACAAGTTCTCTGGGCCCTGTCCACGCCCCCACCCCACACCCCCCATCTGAGGGAGGAGAGCTGGAGGAGAAAGGGGACTGGGGGTTATGCCCAAGGTTAGCCAGCATCTACAACGACAAGAAGGTGCGTTCTTGGAAATCTCATGAAAGACTGCTTCCCCGTGAGGATTCGGGGTGGGGCTCCCTAAGGGCTTCATCTGGAGGAGGGAGGGCGTAGGAGAGGCAGGACCCAAGTCTGCCCCTCAGCGCTCTCTTTGTTCCTACGACCCTGGGGAGTTCTGGGGGGCCCCTGGGAGACAGCAGACCCTCTGAACTGGGGGGAACTGGGAGATGCTAACAGGAGCCATCTCTCGCCATCCACAGCCCTCCTCCAGCTCCTCCTGCTGCCTGGAGGCCAGCGTCCACTAAGATGGCATTGTGCCCCCTGCGCATCTCCTGTGGAAGGCCTCCCCACCACTGAGCCAAGGGACAGTGGTCCTCTTGGCCGCCTGGAAGGAGAAGTCCAAAGGAGCCACTGCCCCCAAGGATGTCACAGTTTGGGGGAAAAGCCTGCAAGTTTTCCATAGGATAGCACACTGCGGGTTCAGCCATTTCCCAACGTGATGCGGACTCACTGGAAAGCTCTGTCCCCAGCCTGCGGCACCCACACCCTCCTCAGTTGGACGACCTCCCCTGAAGGAGACCAGACAGCTGTCCTCTACGTCACACTCAGAAGGCGAAGATGGCGGGTCAACGCCCAACCCGGCTCAGACGCCTGGCCCTGAGCCCAGGCTTCCCGCCTCCACACCTTTGCTCATGCCGTTTCCTCCACCTGGAATGCCATCCCCGCCCCCGTCCTTCCACCTGTCTTCTGTGGCTCGACCCAAACTGACGCCTCTTCCAGAGACCTCTCCCTTGCGAACTCCACCCACCTGGTCCTCGCTGACCCGTGCTGGTGACCACGCCCTTCCTGGGGCCACGGACAAGAACGTCTGGGTCTTACTGCCCTCATCTATTTCCCCAAGACTCAACCTGGGAAGCCGTCCAACAACGAATGAACGAATGAAGGAATGACTCATCTCTTAGGTACTCAGAGGTAAAATCAGCCATCTCAGAAAATCCTCCTCCGTCTCTCGCTTCGCTCTGTGCCCCAGTAGAGGGGATGGGAGGCGAAGGAGGGTCACCCTCTCCTGAGCGCGGCATAGACAGTTGTCCCTGTCGGTAATGACGATACCGCCTCAGAGGGAAGTTGTGCGACTTAAACGGTTGGACAATGGTGAGCTTCTAGAAGGCCGCCTGACGTGGAGTAAGCGCTCAGTGGAGGTCAGGCACCACTGTCGTTATCGTGAATTCAGACTGAAAAGCTGGGGAAAAGGGGGTTTCACCCTCAGCACAGTGCACTTGGGCTGCCCGGGACCCTCGCGTGGCATCCTGCCCACCCTGGACCTTCCGGCCTGTGGCTGCAGAGAAGGGGGAGCCGGTCGCTTCGGGAAACAGGTTGCAGGTCCGGGTCTGATGTGCAGGGGGAAGCTCCGTGTCGTGCCAGCCCCGACCGGCAAATGGTGGCTCGGGGACTAAGCCCCACCCTCTCCCAGCCCCTCAGAGGAGCCTTAATTCATGGGCTACAGTGGACAGAGAAAGTCCCGCTGGCTGGGAGCCCTGCTTCTCAAACTACTGGCTGCGGGCTCAGTTCTCCCGAGCCCCCAGGGGCTAGAGGCCGCCCTCCCCCACCCCGCCTCGCCTGAGTCAGGGAGTTATTTTTGGTTCTCTGTCCAGACTGTTTCTGCCAAGACCTCGGGAACTGACACGATCTAAAAAAGCCCCAAGGCAGAGCCGCGAGGGGGAGTCTTGGCACATTCAGTTCAGGAAAGCGTCCCTCTCTCATCACGAGGGCCCAGGATGCATGCACGGGGAAGGGAGGCAGGCAGGGGAGGGTAGGGAGAAGGCTCAGGTGCAGGTGCATGTGGGAGGAGGCTGAGCTCCGGGGACAGCACACCAGCTGGCAGGGCCTGGCCGCCCCGAGAGCCCAGCATGGGTCTCAGGAGGGAAGCTGCCTGCAGAGCTGGGGGCCTGGACAGAGCGGTGCCCCCGCAGAGGAAATCACCCATCTCTTGCTATTCCTGAGGGAAGCCACTTCCGGACAACAGCCCGGATCATCTCCACAAGGAGCCTTGGGCAGGCCCAGGGTGATGCGCCCGCCAAGGAATCAGGCCAGAGACCAGACTGAAGGGACTGATGCCCCGCAGCAGGCAGGCTGGGCCCCGGGACGACCCCCTGGCCTCTAGGCCTATCTCCCTTGGTCCCAGCTTTGATCCCTTGAAGACTGGGAACAGCTCAGCCAGAAGAGTTTGCAAAGCTGGGAGCTTGGACGGACAAATGTCCCTGTAGATGAAATAAGCTGAGACAGAGCAGCCTCCCACAGGGTGCACGCTCAGACCCAGAGCCGGGGAGGCGGCACTAAGAGAGGGACCCTCCTGGACACTCACCACAGGGAAGGGTGGCCCACTAGGGGATCTCTCACCATGCGCAACCCTGAGCACTTCCTGATGGAGCCCCAAGGGAAAGCTGCCCCGCCAGGATCCCACTCAGGCCCCTGCGTTTCCTCCCTGGAGCCTTTCTAGTGGGTTCTCCTGTAGACTGAGGCATCCTAAACTTTACCCTCAGTCCTAAGTGCAAAATCAGTCTGTGCTATTTCACCTACCATCCTTGCCAGCAGCTCACTTGCCTGGCTCCATCCAGGCCCCTGGGGAGCAGGTGGGGGCCAATCTCTCTGCCTCCTTGACCCTTCCTAAGGAAGCCTTTAGCATCCGAGTCCCAGGATGGTATCACTGAAGGAAACTGTAAAAACCAGCTAGGCACCCCTGAGGCTAAGGGGACATGCCATTCCAGGACACGCTGCGTGGGGCATTAAGTCTCTGGCTTCTGCTGGGGCATCTGACTCTGCAGGCTCTCCATGGAGTGACAGCGAAGTCCCAGGCCCCAGCTCAGGGGACGGGGTGGCGGGGCAGCTCTACCTCTCGCCTGCCTGGGAAGAAGAGGAGCTGCTGGGAGCCGTGGGAAGCTGCCTCCCTTCCAGAGGACGCCCAGAGACGAGCCTGACCTCAGTTCTAGAAACAAGAGTTTCAGATTCGAGTTTCTGGCTGGGCCGTTAGGAAAAACACACAATCCCACTGAGGAGGGATCTTTAAAAATGGAAACTGAAAACAAACGGAAGCTGCAGCCCTTGTTTGGTTTTTTCTTTGTATGTTCTGGGGTCAGGAATTGTCGGCAACATCGACTCAAAGAGAAGGAGGCCACAGAGAGGCTAATTAAGAGTTCTCTGTGGGGAACAGCAGGGAGACCCTTTTCTCCACTGTCACGCCAGGAAGGTAACTGAGATGCTATTCACCAGACCAAGGAACCTACAGTCCGATTTCACGCCAAGAAGCCAAGGAGTTGAGGGGGCAAGGACGGGAACTGACAGCTACTGAGAGGCTGACTCTTGCAGAAGTCCTGCCCCCGGACGCTCTCAGTGCTCCCGGGCTCCGTGCGGAAGGCCGGCTGCCTCTGTTTAGGCTCCTTGGCGACCTCCAAACAGGCTGTCAAGATGGTCTGGAGACGTTGCCTATTTGCAAGGCTGAAATCAAGATCAAATTAAGCAGCCGCAGGATATTAATTTGGTTCTCCAGTTACTGAGTTTGAATGAAAAGCTAGCAAGGGAGAAGCAGCAGCAAAGCCGCATTCATCAGCCTGTTTATCCATCTGTCGTCTGTCTGTCTATGCATCTACATACCAATCAGTCATCCATCTCTATCTATTGTCTGTCCATCTGTCTATCTATCTACCTATCTACCTATGTATCATCTGCTACAGACCTATCTATCCTACCACCACCTACCCTGTGCTGGGCACAGTGCAGAGCCCGTGATGTGAATGACCTCCATGGACTCACACAGCAATCCCAGGGCACAGACTCCTACACCTTCATTTTACAGACCACGAGGTGGCTGGCCTCTTGGGAGTCACACAGCTATCGAGTGCCACTTACTGCTTTACGACACTGCCTCCCTCAGACTGGGAGCTCTCACAGTCTGGTGTTGGTTCAAATCACCCGGGTGCTGGTTAAATGCAGATCCCTGGGCCCCACCTGCAAACTCTGATCCGGCATGCCTACTTATGCATCACGGTCTTTCTGAAGGAAGAATTAAATGCAGAGGTAAAATCATGCACTGCACGCCAATGGTGGGGAACACGGCCTCTGGGGGTCTCTTCATCCTCTCTCTTTACTCCCAAATCAAACATTTTAGCAGCCTGAGGGGAACCAGGTGAAAGCCCCAAGATCCTAAGCCGTAAGGTGGATTCAGCCAGCTTCTAAAAATAGGCCAAGTACAGACGGGCAGGCCGCTTGTTGCAGGAGAGGGGACCCTCCTTGGAAAGACTCTTAGCTTCTCACCACTTGTAACTTTTTCCTCTGCGTTTCCATTTTGCTCCTTGATCCCTTAACTGGAAAACATGGAGGTTTTATCTTGGTTTCTCCCTGGTATACACAGTCTGTATGCCAGGGAGGGAAAAGTGCAGCTTGTGGGGCAATAAATAACAAATAAACCACCCCCTTGGATTCTTCACAGGCCAGGAGAGACCCCTCAGTGGAAGTGTTTGGAGGGTCTAGAGAGACAGCAGCGACGTGAGCTCAGGGTCACTATGGGTAGAAACCCAAAGACCGCGCCCAACAGAAATAATCATACAGTCCCATAACCATCAATAGAGCCCTATAATCATTATCACTGCAAACATTCACCCCGGCACCTGGAACGGCAAAATGGGAAGAGCTGGTACAGACCGTCCAGCCCAGACCCCTCCTGGGACTGTCCCAGGTCACCCAGCCCAGGTCACATACTGGGACTTGGGCACAATGCAGCACATCACTGAACAAACGCAGTAAACAGTCCCTCCTATAGGGCTCCTGTAGAGCAAAAGCGTATACGTTAAAACGGATCTGTTCTTAAACTCTCAACATATCTCACTGTCTTCTCTCCAAGACTGGGGAACTTAAAAGTTTATGCCTTAACTAGAATACCTAGAACAGAATTAAAAATAATCTCAATGTGGGAACCTGTTTCAACAAAAAGGTTAGCTGATTCTATTTCCTTGCCTTCTGAACATTCTCTCTCCTCCACTTGACTAACAGCACTAGGGATTTTAAAAAGCATTTGTTTTTTTGGGATGCTTTAAGTTTATAATAAGCCATTTGGAGTGTGTTCGGGGGGAGAGAGGATAAAAAGGGAATCAAGTCAGAACATCAGATAAAACCTAAGGAAAACTTCACAAAGCAAAATTACCCTAAAAATTACCCTAAGTTACTCTGAAAAGTATGCAATATGAAAATGAACTTGCTTTGTGTTAAAAAACAGTTGGTGAGGAGGGCTGACTAATCTTTATTAAGAAAACTTAAAAATGGAATTGGGATTTAAAATGTATCATTTAAAAGTGGACTCAGACACTAATATGTTAAGATTTGTTACAGTAATTAACGGGAAAGTTGATAAGGCAAGTGGGTGTTCAACCAAGAATAAGAACCCCAAGGGGCGGCCCCACGTTGGGTCCACCTTAGAAAATATGAACAGGGGCAGGGAGCCCATTGGCTCAGAGGGTCCACTCCTTCCAGCTGTTAGGAGGGGCTCCTTTGCATGCTGTGAATGGCAAATCTTCAACTGTAATGTGATTAAATTTTATTTTCTTTTTTCTTCCAGATATGCATGATTCATTATCTCGGGGAGCTGCATCAGCCCTGGTTCTCAACCTGGAGGGAATCTGAGATACATGTTTCCAGCCCTATTAAACTGGTGTCTTAAAAACTCATCCCAACACACACACACATTCTTCAGATGGTATGTAACATCTAATATCATCCTATTTTTTTCCAGATGTGTGACTCCATGGCATCTGTGAGTTGGCCTTCGCACCGGGTGGGACAATGCCCTAGGGTGGGCACCGCCTACACTCCTTAGCTATCTCTTAAGGCAGCCCTACCCAAGAGCCCTGATTCGGCCATCACCTCCCTGGAGCCAGGCGGGCGCTGTCCACTGCAGCACCACTCCCTAAGCCTGCGTGAGAGCCGGAGGCGGGCAGTGCAGCGCCATGCCCCCGCAGGGTTCTGAGCCTACCTAGTTTTTGCATGCATGCACGGAGCCTTTCTTCAAGATTGGACACTCTGCTCTGAAGTTCATCGTAGTCATAGGCGCCAATTTCCTCTTGCAGCTCGTTAAGCACTGACGTCAGATTCTGGGCCTCCTCTTTAAACTGCAATACCAATTTGGCATCGGCCTTGTACTCTTCCAACACAGGTATCAAAGGCCTAAGTTCATCCATTTTCGCTTTTATCGCCTGCAAGGTTAAAATAAGCTGGGTTCAGTGCGATGCGTGCAAAAACTTGTAACACCCTGCCTTGGCCTGGCTTCTCCCTAGGTGAGGGAAAGTGTGCATACTCCCGCTTTATTTATAGATTTATTTATTCTGGTCCAAATGAGTTAGGAGAGCATAGGAAACAGTCTTCAGAACACCAACATATTTGGGAAAGGTCTTTATTGTCAGTTTAGAATGCAACATCTTAAGGTTACATGCTTTAAGTCACATACACAAAGTTTCTTTTTTTTTTTTTTCAAAAAATGCATTGACAAGGGTTCAAAATATTCATGAAATGCATCTACAGTCGCATGCAAAAGAGGATCCTGGTTGTATTCAAGGTTCCTTAGTGATATGGTGCTAAAGATTGGAAAATAATAGTAAAAATGCGTGGTGCAAAAAGCTCTCTGGCCCTCTTTCATGGTTACATGGGGGTGGACTGCTTCTTCAGTCACTGCAGCATTGAAAAAACTCTTTTAAGTTAGCCCTGCAAGCAAGAAAATGAAACACTGTTGAACAGCTAGCTCACTAGCCTGCCTTGAACAGATAGCCATTAGTAGACAAATATTTTCACGGTCACTTAAAAAAAAAAATCACCTGTCAGTGCTCGAGTTAGCCCAAACAAACTGCTGGAACAGTTATGGGGATTCCTTCACAACAATTTCTCTTGACAGTTTTAATGCAATTGAAGCATGGTAAAAGGCAAAGGGTTGCATTTCTTTTCCTGGAGCCATACCGCCCCAACTTTTGGAACTGGGAGAGAGGCCTGTGTGGACAATGCTTGCAAAGATGAGCTAGCCCATGGTTGCTAGAGACACCTCGTCTTTAGAGGAATCTGAATCTACCAAAGAGAAAGGGTTGCTAGCCTTTCAAGGAGAGACACAAACTCTTTTCAGTCAGGCCCATCAAAATCTCTTTCCCATGATGACACGTCAGGAGCAAGGACGACACGTCCCACCTGCCTCCAACAAGAGCCATGGGCTCATTTCTCCTCAACAGGATCAGGCCTGCAATTATTTTATTTATAATATAGATTTATAACTTCATTAGCTTGCCATCTCGTCTGTATAACGTATCGCTTTAAGAAGCAAATTAGTTCTTGCTTCACGCAGGGAGCACATCAAAGGAAAACATTAGCATAAAAAGGATAGGGAGACAGAGCATCAGCAATTTCTAGTGAAGCTGGAAGGTGTCATTTGACCTGCTCATTTACATCTGGGCCAGATTTCTAATTAACATGCATGTATACCTCAATTAAGGTGCATATAATTTCTCAATTTAATCATTTTGCAGCTGAGTAAACTATAGGTGTATATATACATATTTGTACATATGTATATATAATTTTAGGTCAAACAAACTCCGGCTATGATGCCCAGAGTTCCCTGGAAAAAGAAACACTTACCAGGAAGTGAGAAAGACGTTGGTGTCTCTCTCTTCCCCGCAAATCTACAGTGCGCCTTGTCACAGCTACATTAGGTCAGATGTGAAAAACTGCCCTGAGTGATCCCTGCTCAGAAATGGCTCTAATCAATTAAGCTAATCCTGAGCTAATGTAATTTACCTGCAGCAGCTGTGGAACGACAAGGACCAATCGTGTCGCTTCCCAGCTAATCTGCAACTGGGCTTGAGAAGCCAGGACCTGGGACCCTGGCCTCAGAAACTAATGGGTGCTGAACACCGCTGCTCATGGCTGCCCCTTTCAAGGAGTCTTTGGCCAAACCAGGGTGAAGACAGGTTGCCTCTCTCTTCCCAGAGACTGCAGCCATTTGCAAGGCAAAGAACAAAACTTGCTGGGCTCCTTCCCTGCCCCAAATTGCTACTCCTGGAGGGAAAGAGGGAAGGGAAACATGAAGGGGAAACAAGCCCAGTCTCTGGGAAAAGGAGGGGAAGGGGGAGGGGAGAGGAGGAGCATACATACCTTGAACTGCCTGGCCAGGTGTTGCTTATGGCTCTCCTCCACCTGCTTGAACTTGGATTCCAGGCCCTTCATTTGGTTCTCCATCTTCTCCACGTACTGCAAGTCTCTCTGAGTCCGCCTGTCCAGGACCTCTATGGATTGAGACATGTTTTGCACCTGTCAAAAAGGCAACATGTTCAAGGAAGGAGCTGTGGCAGGGGCCCGACGACCTTATTTGCCTCCTAATACGTGACAGTGGCCTTGTCCTCACGGCCAGCACACGGAACCAGAAGTGGCCCACGCATTATTTACTAGTTAATCATCAGCATCGGGGACTGTTCTGACCAAGAGCTCCCCTAACAGAGCAGATTGCCTGGTAAACACTTCCTCTGCCATCTTCCAGGACACGTTCTTACAACCAGGGATGCAAATCAGGGGCGCAGGAGCCTCGGGTTCCTCACTGGTCAGAGTCGCAGGCATACGGCTCTGGGTAATTATTTTTCTTTTTCTTTTTGGAGGTGGGGATCATCTCCCGTCTCTTTATTCTGCAGCATGAAGTCAGTTAGGCAGGCATAAATACCAACCAAGATGAACAGCATTGTTGGGCTCCCCACCCCCAGCTATAGGTTCTCTTTCCCCCCAAATCCCACTGGGTGTCTTGCTGAGAAGGTTGATTGCATAAGTGCAGAACCAGGGAAGGACTCTGCCTGATTTCACATCAAGCCTTTTTCTCCCCCATCTTGTACGCCATCCATCACCCCCACAATATCATAGGTAGATGACTGCTCTGCGAACACGTACGTTCAGAACACAGTCAGAAATCAATCACCCAGCAAATGAAGAATCGCTGTTTTACATCTTTATGGGCAGATCTGCATTGAGTTTCGCCTCAAGATGGAACTTTAATATTCAACAGGATTCCAGAGAGCTTGAAAGAAAAACACTTTTAGTGCAGCCAGCTGCCAGTGCATTTTATTTTCAGGAAACTGGCTCCTGCTTCTGTGCAAACGCATTTGGGGTGGTGGGTGGGGAGGTAGAAGGAGGCTCAGGACTGCCAAAGCGATGTTGGGGTCATTTCCTCAGAATCTAATCCAATTACTAGGGAGGAAGATGCCTCCATAACCGCAAATCTTCATGGCTGATTTTTTGCTCAGTTGGAAAATACTCTCCCTTTTAGGAACAAAATCATTTGGGTATGAGGCTCAGCTTTGCCCAGTCGTGACGAGAAGAGATGATAGTGTGGTTTCCATTTCTCACGGTACATCCTCCACCCCCACAAATAGAACGAAATAAAAGAGAGACAGCAACCAAAGGCTGATCAGTGGGAGAAACACCGATATTGCTCATCTCAGCACTTAACAATGCCTGGAATTTTATGGCTTGTTATCTGAAAGGAACACACACACATTCAATTTAAAAATTCAGGCTTGGAAAAAACAATACATGGGTGAGCCTTTCTCTTTAGATGCTTTACGGGAAACTGAAATGTATTTGCTGTATCACCTATGTCTCCCTGTTTCCCCTCACCTGTCTTATTCTGTCAGTTTGAATAACTGCAGCTCTTCTTTGGAGAAATGTTGTCATGTTTGGTTTCCTTTATCCCTCAAGACCCAGCCCAAATGCCACCTCCTCCAGGGAGGCTTCTGTGATGAGCTAAGCCAGAAGTGGCTGCATGCTCCCTGGCAACAACATCACCGAGCTGGCACAATGCCTGCACAGCAGTAACCCACACACCTGTCCCAACCACCTTCTTGGAGAGGTAGCTGGTGGAGGAAGGGGGACTGGGCCTTCACACCTGTAACCCCAGCACCTAAGGCACAGGAGTGCCCCCGCAGCCACATGGCTGGGAGGAAGGAACACAAGTGGCAGCTCCAGTCATGACGCCTCCTCCCCTCCCCCACCGAGAGGACATGATTGCTCACGTGACAGCAAAATCCAGAAAAGCAAGGGCTAGAACGTGCTGAGCAGCAGCTGCTGAGTCCACCCTGGCTTTGGTCTCCTACTTCTAACAGGGGCCGTGCACAGCACCAAGGGCTTTTCATTTGCCAGAGAAGGAATGCTCTTAAAAACTTTTAAATAAGGTTAAATTTTAAATTTAGAAAACAAACTTTAAAGATGCCAAACTACTCAGGTGCCTTAAAACAAAATACTCTCCTCTAGTCTTTCCCACCCAGAACGAACACTTCCTTTTCTGGCCAATCACAGAGCAGAGAATGGGGCCTGGGTCACGATCGCTCCCCCAGGCCTTCTCACCCGCTAGTGGACCGTGGTCTGTAGCCCCTACTCTGAGCTCGTCCACTCCCTTACCCGTACCTAGGATGTGTCCCTGAGAAGCCAACTGAGGAGCTCAAGATCACCCAGCTACTAACTGACACAATCCACCCCACACCTGGCCCAGCGTGGCCGGAGGTGCTGAGCGGGGGTGGGCAGCAGACACACCTGGCCTCCAGGCAACGACCAATAGGACATTTGCAATGTTCCAGGCACTGTGCTGAGCCAGTCATGTTATCTATCTCATTCCATCTTTCCAAAACCCCGGGAGGTAAAGGCTATTTGGAGTCCTATTTTACACATAAGGAAACTGAGGCTCAGAGAAGTTAAGCAACTTATCTACCATCACACAGCGGTCAGCCACCACTCAAGGCCTAGACTGACTCCATAGCTCACACTTTCAAACTCAGGGCTGTGCGCTTCTCCAAAGAGAACAGAGCTCATGGCCCCCCCCCCCGCCTTGTGCGCTCTATGGGTCTCCAGTGGTCCTCAACCCCGGCCACGGGTCAGAACCGTGGGGAACTTTCAGGTACAGCTGCCGGGCTCCTCCCGAGGACTTGGGTCCAGTGAAAATCAGAGCCTCTGGGTGTGGGACCCACGGCTCTACCTCTGGAAGCTCCGCAGGCAGACGTGAATGTGAAGCCGGGCTGGACAGCAGCGGAACTAGATGGCATGTGCTCCGTTGGGACCCCAGCCCCACTGACAGAACTCACGACCAGACGTGAGGCCCGGAGGGAGCAAGGGACAGACGCCTGCCCCTCCTAACAGACGGACTGCGTCAAGCAGGGAGGCCCCCTTCACAACAAATGCTTCTGCCCTCTGATGACAGAGTGCCCTCGAGGGTCTAGACTAGGGGTCCCCATTTTTAAGCAGTAACGCTGTGGCAGAGATGGGCAGAAAGGAGAGCCCCAGGGCCTGCGTTCCCAGGGGCCCAGAGAACTTTCTGGAACCCATTTCCAGCTTTCTGTCACCCACTGAGCGCCTCCTCCCAAGAGCATGAGGGTCCTGTCCGCCAGCGCCCCGACCTTGCCTCCTGGCCGCCGGAGGCCCCTCCAAGCTGCATCTCCCTCTGCTTTAATTCTGAATAATTAAAGGCCCAATAAAGCTCTGGTCTAGTTTGGTGTTGATAAATGTTTGTGGGATCTATTAAATGCAATTGACTTTAATTCTTTTTAAACGATTTCCTGGGGTGGCTAACGATGGCCAGAGAGGGCACACTCTGTCCCCTTAGGGGGAGCAAGCTCTGGGACCAGGCCGCTGCTCCGTGCTCCCCCAGGCCCTTCTTCCCAAGGAACAAGGCTCCCTGCACGGTCCGTTCTAGATGGGCAGGGCTGGGAGGACCCCAGGACTCCTTACCCACCTCTCCCCTGACAGTTCGGGAAATGGGGTCCAGGAGAGGGACCTGCTTTGCTCACAGTAGTGGGAGGGTTTTAGTCAAGCTGGGCTCAAAGAATCCTGTCCGCAGCGTGGAGGGCAGCACTGGAGTGGCCGTCCTCACAGCACGGGGCCCTGCCCCACACATGCCTCCTCTCCTGCTCCTCCACTGAGGGGAGAGTCACGGCTTACTGGGGTGTGTGTGTGTTTGTGAGTATGTGTGTGTGGAGTGTGTGTGCATGTGTTTGTGTGTGGTGCATATGTGGTGTGTATGTGTGTGATCTATGTGTGTGTGTGGTATATATGTGGTGTGTATGTGTGGTGTGCGTGTGTGGTGTGTATTTGTGTATTTGTGTGTGGTGTGTGTGGTGTCTGTGCGTAGTGTATATGTGTGTCTGTGTGTGTAGCGGGTGTGTGTGGTGTATATGTAGTGTGTGTATGTGTATTTGTGTGGTGTGTGTGGCATACGTGTGTTTCTGTGTGTGTGTGGAATATACATGGTGTGTGTTTTTGTGTATTTGTGTGTGGTGTGTATGTGTGTATTTGTGTGCAGTGTGTGTGTGTGGTGTGTATGTATTTGTGTGTGGTGTCTGTGTGTGTGTATGTGAGTATCTGCGTATAGTGTATGTGGTACACATGTGTGTATGTGATTTGTGTATGGTGTCTGTGTGTGGATTGTGTGTGTGTGGTGTCTGTGTGTGGATTGTGTGTGTGTGGTGTCTGTGTGTGTGTGTGTGTGGTGTGAGCCCACTTTCCGGGGTGAAGTGTCCCCATGTAAAATGCCCTTCCTCCCGGGGAAAGGGTGATGAACGGACCAGAAGGGCCGCCCCCCCCCCCCCCCGGTAACTCCCAGGGGCCCTGATGCCCAAGTCATTGGAGAATCCAGGCTTCCTGGGGTGGAATGTGCCAGGAGGTGAGTCGGCTGCCCCATCAGGAGTGGCAGCCTCTGTGAGGGCCGAGAACGCCAGGCCAGGTGGGAAGGCGGCCACCAGGTTTGAGTGCTGCTCCCTGCCGACCAGCTGTCTGGCTTGGGACAAGTCAGTCCACCTCTGGACCCAGATTTCCACTTCTCAAAATGGTGAAAAATCTCACCAACCCCATGTGGTTCTTGTGAAGATTAAGTGAAATACTGGATTCAAAATGTAGACACAACTTCTGTTCCCAGGTGGGCTACAAGGTAACAACTGAATCTGCTTTTGTACCAGGGAGGCATCCACAGTAGTGAACAGCCGCTCAAAGGCAGGGGACAGACCCCATCAGGCAAAATCCCAGTGGCCGAGCATTTCCGGCTCCCAGGGCGTCCTCCCAGGCAGCCGCTCGGGGACAGCTCTGAGCCCTCGGGATGACAGATCACAGGCGCTACTTGGAGAGACAGCCGCGGGAGAGGGGCCCCACACCCCCTCTCCCCACCACCACTGGCTCCTCAGTGGAGCCTGCAGTGACCGGGAGGGTCTATGCCTCTCTCCTATCCATCCATCCATTCATTCCTTCATTCACAAATATTCCGAGTGAGGACACGCCGGGAAAGAGTGAGGCCTTGGAGCTGAGATGACCCGCAGGCTAGCCAAGCCTTGGCGCTCGCGTGGGCACACACATGCACATACAAGTACACCCACACGCACACACACCCTGCACAGACTCACCTTCTCCAGGAGCTGCCTCAGCTGTTTCGTGCGGGCATCTCGTGAACACATGGTCTGCTGGGGAGCGACCACTGTGCAGATACACCTGCCCTCGCTGTCCTGGGCAGAGCTGTACACCTGCCAGCTCTCCTCAGGGTTGGTGGGCAACACCTGGGCGGAGGGAGAGGGAGGGAGAGAAAGGGAGACCGTAAGGTAGTGTACCAGGGACAAAACCAGGGGGCATCGTCCACATCCGACCCCCCGGGGGAAAAGGCAGAAAGCAATGGTCCAAAGACACGTTCTGACCACGAAGAGGGAAAGGGGACCCCAGGAATAGAGACAGTCTCCCGTCAGGATCCCCAGGACTGGAAAGGAGTCAAACAGTCACGACTCTTTACATTTTTTTTTTTTTAATTCAAGGGGTTTTTAAATTTAAGGAATGTTTGGAGTTTTGGCATCTGACCAAATTGATCCATTAAGTAGAAGGGAGGGGTGACCAGAGGCAGGGAAGCAAGAGGCTGGCTGACTCACAGTGGGCACGTAATTCAGAAATAAGATCTCCTCCCGTAAGGCAGGCAGGGGTGGCCGGCGCAGCCTCACTCTGCAGCTCCCTGACGCTGGGAGATGAAGCACGGGCCCTAATAGCTGGGATCCAGCAGCCTATTAGCCCAGAGCTGCAACGACCCTGAGCCCCAGCAATCTTCCCGCTGGCAGCCTGGCGAAGACTGCCCGAGAGAACGCCGGGCTTCCCACTCTGCACAGGCTGCCACCCACAAGCCATTTGGTGGATGTCACCAAGTTGCTGGTGACATGTTGTGCAGGGGTCACACCCAACCTCAGTCCTGAGGTGTGCCCAAGGACCACCAAGAAACTAGAGCTGCACATGGCTGGTGACATGGTGACATGGCTGGTGTCACCTTGCCTTACAGCCCAGCTCAGGTAGTCCTGACCACCAGGTACACAGGGCAGACACTGCTGTTGGAAAACACCCCCTGAACACAGACTGTTCCCCCACTGCAGCCTGCCCAGTTGCCTCAGGTCACCTCCCTGCTATTTTTAGCACGAGGGCGGGGAGAAGTTGGTGGGAGAGTCCATAGTATCATTACATTTCATTTCATTCATTGCCAACCTCAGAAGCTCAGGGCCCAGAGGCAGGAACAGAGGCATTATGAAGGAAACACGGTGCATGCAATTCTCGAAACAGCAGGTGAGGTGAACGTGAGAACGCTCTTAGGAGGGGGTCACACGGAGACCTCCCGCCGGAGCACTGCGCCCTTGGCAGCCAGAAGGGAGCGGGCGAGGACACTCGTGTCCTTCACCTCTCCTTTCAGCTCAGAGGGAGCCGGGCCTGGGCGCGCCCCTTCCTCCGTGAGCCCGGCCTGGCGCTCACGGGTGGTTCCGGCTCAGCCTCCGCTCCAGCCACCATCTAAGTTAGCCCTGCCCAGAAGCGACCCGGGCCACACGCCCCTCCCCCAAGGCATCGAGAGGAAAGGAGAAACGATTTGAGAGGCAGGGCGGGAGGGGTGCGCGGAAGGCAAGGGGTCGAGCTCCGCTGCAAGCGGCTCCCGGGGGCCCCGCCCTGGGCCCCACGGCACTCTCCTCCACGGGACCCCAATGACCTCCGTCCGTACGGGGATGGGGAGGGAAAGGCGCCTCGGGACTTTGGAACGCGCAGGCAAGCGAGGGCACCAGCTCCCAAGCCCGCCGCCCGGCCGGGCCCCACTCCGGGCCGGGTTCAGTCCGGCTTTCACAAAGTAGGGCGGGCTCCGTTCAGAGCCCTGGCTGGACCAGCCAGCCCGGGATGGAGCGGCGGCGTCTCCACCCCTCACTTGCAGAGTGACCTTGGACAAATCCCCAAGTCCCCTGCCTCAGCTTCCCAACCTTATCAATGAGAGACTTAGTTGAACGAGGACTCCAAGCCTCCGAGCTCCTGAGCAGGCTCCCCTCGCCCCACGAGGGGACCAGGCAAAGGAAGGAAGCGTCGCCGGGGAACCGCAGCCGGAGGAGTGGCCGGGGCTGGGGGCGTGGGGAGCAGGGTCACCCCGCAGCGCGGAGGAGCCGCCGCGGGACCCCTGCGCGCGCCCTTGCTCCTGCGCCCTGCGCCCCGCGCGGCGCCCGCCCAGCCCAGGGTTGGAGGTCGGGGAGGGAGCGGGAGAAGGGCCCCGAGAAGGCGGGCGGCGGGCGCACTTACGCCGGTGCTGCGGTCGAGCGTCCCGCCGCTGGCCGCCGAGAGCTTGGTGGTGTTGAGGCCCACCAGCGAGGGCAGCGTCTGGGACATCCAGTTGGTGATCATGGCCATGGTGCTCAGCACGGCCCCGATCTTGAGCAGCGGCACCGACATCGCGCC